CAGTGAAAATATCAAGAATTTTCTCCTCCGAAAGATGAAAAATAATTTAAAACCGACAACGCTTATAAACCAGCTTTAATCAAGAAAAAAATCCATGTTTATCCACTCTCAGAATATTTGGTAGGATTGTCGGTAAAAGCCTCACAATTACCAAGGCTACCGTACTGACCTAGACAGGGGACAATGAATGTCGTCAAGCGAGGTCACCAACATACCCCTATCCAATGGTCATTTCGTTGCTCACTGATGAGTGCATTTTGCACAGAATATCACTGTTGGTTTTTCTCACTCGCGCACTTGGATACCCGCAAATTCAAGGTACGGATGTTCTTCTACAAAGCCGTATCTTATCAACAAGGGGTCCACGTTGGTAATGTGGTGAAATATTGGTAGCTCGGGTGAGTTTATTGGTTGTTGATCAGATGGCTGTTGATCTGTTCGCCGAGCTTGGCAACTGGCTTGCAAACGTTTCGTCACCATACGAGGAGACATCATCAGTGCGCAGTTGGGTGGCGCATGTATTGCGATATCTCGAATATCGTACCAAATGAGGCGACCTCGTGCAGCACATCGAGTTGCTTAAGAACATCATAAACGAGAGATTCTATGTGCGCTTTAGGTCCAGGCTTGGCTACAAAAGAATAACGAAAAGACCACATATTTCTTTCTCTTGCCAAGTTTTTGAAAGTCAACGTACTGTTACCGTTAGGTCCCAGTTGATGGATGACGTTGAACAAAGGACGCAACTGTGATCCAAACAAATGGACCGCCAAACAACTCCGGGATATCATGAGTGGCACTGACAAGCTGACAAAATGATTTGACGATTTACTGAGGCAGAAAACCCTGCGAGACTAGTACATCTACGATTTACTCTGAAAAGACCTCATCACATCAACGGTTTTTCAAAGAGATCTTGTAACTCCATTTTAGGAGGGTCGCCCGTGATGTATTTCACGGAAGTCGAGTGGAACTTGGCTAACTTGCTAACGTTTGTAACTATCTCGTCTAGTAAATAAATCGCATGAATCGAACCACACAAACATCATAAACGAGAGATTCAGCTGGGTCCTAGGTGAGTCTCTCGAAAGAACCAAATTAGTTTGCAGATGAGTTGAGTGTATATAAGTACATATTTCCGTTTTCTAAACATGTATCGTTTGGGTACTAAAACTACAAAAGTGACGCTAAGACAGAATCACCTTATCATACTGACACGAAGGATGATAATGTAGATCAGCATTCACAAACAATGCACGCTATCACTTTATAGGAGATGGAGCCCTAACTCTAAGTGTTTTGTCTCAGACTTCCCCTGAAGACCTGTACGCTTTGCTCGAGAAGTATTTCAGTATATCGCCACAACGTTTGTTGTAAAGTAATGTGATCATATAGGGCAACCATTAAAGGGGTTCGCACCGCAAACCAAGAAGCGCTATTTTCAACATCACATTTTATGGCACAATTCCACTCGGTTTTATTCTACTCTAAACCTATCTGTAAGAACAACTAGTGAAAACGTGAACAGAATCCAACAGGACCACAAGATCACACCATGGGGAATTTTGAGAGTGCTGTGTCAGAATAAGTAAACTGAGTTGCACACTTGTTCCAACTTGATTTTGATTGCTAACTTAAACTCGTATTTGTTCCACGCTCAACCACAATTTGCATTGGGCTCAAAGTCACGAATGAAAGATTTTATTGTGATCATTTGAACGTTCTGTGAATACGTCCCCTACTATAATACCTTTTTAATTCACTAATGACATGCAAAGCTACCGATTTTTGGACTATAATTCTAGGCCATCAACAGAAATCGATAAACCTATATGTTCTGCCCTCAGATGACTGGCATGTAACATACCACGGTCCTGCATGTTTCACCCATGACTACTTAGCTCTTTCTTAACAAAACTGGACTGATCAGGTTTCTCCGTATTCGCCGAGTGTACAAGCGTAATATCCTGCAAGTGGGTCTGTGTTTGAGCCGCAAGTATACAATCCATCGTTTCGTTGCATATTATTTAACTTGGTATTTCGCAGCTTGTTTTCTATTGTACACCCCTTTAGCTGCATCGCCAATGGTCGCTGCCCAGCCGAGAAAGATTCTAAGTCGAAAACGTTACTCATGAGTAGTAGCCAAAAATTACGAACTAGGGTCACCTTCACCGGTGGAAACAGGAAACCCAAAATATGAGCGTAATAAATGTGCCCTTCTTGAGTAGGACACAGAAATTTGTTTCTCTTGCTGTGCTACAAATCAGTGCTTTATTACTGTTTTCTCTCAATGTTGTCGAGAAATTTAAACTAGGTCCCACAAACGATTCGGTTTTCAGCGTCAGTGAGCAGAGTGGATGCAAATCATACTCAACGAATAAACCATGATACTCACGTTTTCATCTTAACGTTCAAAAGGTTACAACTCTCAGGAATACCCTGCCAACTTTAGGCAGTTCAAAGGCGATGATAAGGATGAAATGGTGGGATCTTCACCCGGCTCTCTGAATCAAGAATAAAGTACACTAGAGAGTGAAGGCGCCACTGTTTATGGTTTACCGGAGTAATTTCGGATTAACTAGAATATGGACTGTCCTTTCTGACACAACACACAATAGTGTAGTTACTAGTGGAACTATACCACAGGACAAAACGTTGAAAAATTTAATGCGGAGGGTTGAGCTGTATCCAACCCGACGAGAATGGCTGTAAGACCACGAAGAATCAGCCTGCAGAGTGGCTCAGGCAACAGCAAAATGGTAGGGGACGGATTCCTGAATCATAAGCTGTTGGTAAGATGAATGAACCAATCTGATATGACAGGCCGAGTTCATGGTACTCGGAAGGTCGAATGCGCTATCTATCAAACAAGCAACCTCAGTTGATTTGGAGTCACATCTGAATGTGCGGGGTCATGTCTCATTGTCAGCATGCTTATTTATTGTTTCGCCAACCCCTCTCAGTTCACCAGTTGGCTGTTCGTTAGGATGTTAACCGAAATATTTTACGCATACTGCTGAAACGATGTTAAAAAAGTCGTAAATATCGTGCAGTTACATTTGTGGATATCTTGAGACTTTTCGACGTTCGAGCCTGAAGACTTTCTAGACCTCCATACAGTGTCCTGCGAGCAGCTTTTAAGTGTGTCATGAAGACACACACAAAATGAAACCGTTTATTTTCATCACATTTCGCTACTTTATCTGTGTAAAACTCTGGTTATTGTCCCATAACATAATGAAGGGTATCTCATAACGCAAATTCCATAAATGCTCATCTGCCATCAGCTAAACAGCTAGGGGAAGATAAAAAGTTAAAAGAATTGGGAAAAACTTCAATGACTCAAATGTCAGATCAACCGGATACTTCTCCAAAAAGTTGTTATCTTCAAACCCAAGGCTGCTTTTCTTCATGGAACCATCAAAATTCTCTCTGTGAAGGTGACTCCAATGGTTGAAAACCTCNAAAACCTCTGATCAAAGATAATATCAAAAGTGTAGGGAATTTAGCGAAATACACTCATTTGCAAACAAGTTTGGTTTTGCGAAGGTCTCACCTAGGAACCCAGCTGAATTTCTCTTTTGTGATGTTTCTAGGCCAATCCAAATTTGCTTGCAAATGAGTGTATTTCGCTAATTTCGTGCAATTTGGTTTCAATTAGAACATAAGGCTGACGGAAACCCGGGGAGTGCGTCCACCTGATGAGCCTCAAGAAGGGCGAAAACGGTCGTCGGCTGTGGAAGAATTTTCAGCAACCTTATGAGTAGTGCATTGCGAATCTAGGGAATTTAGTTTGGCGGGTGGTGAATTTAGTTTTTACCTATGGTGCGTGGAAACCGTTTCTCTGCTCGGAATTAAACTGGGATATGGGAACAATTAAAGCCATCTCCGGTGTCACCGAATTAACTCGTTAAATAGGCTTAATTTTAACTAATGGTGTCTCAACTGATTGTGTAAGTAACTGTACGTAATCCATTGGTAGTTTACTGAATAATGACATTATTGAATACTGTTTTTTATTTCACTTAGTGACGCAGTAACTCACTCATTCGCATCATTCATTTAGGTTAAAGAGCTACTGATGAAGATTGTACATCACACATGTTAAATATTTCGGTTCTTCTTGAGAGGTTATTAGAGCTCAGAACGAAGTGTCCGGATGGGATTACCACGATTCAGTCTTTTATATAAGTTTACACAGGATGAAAATTATTTCCCACATTTTTTTGTGCGACTACTGTCAATCTGTACTGAAAGACTTGATAATAGTATCCAGCTGCTCGATCCAAATTTCACTTCAAGAACCTATAAAGAGGTTCAAACCCGCGAGCTTGTTAATCATCACTACTGGACCTAGAATGGTCAGTAGCCAGTGCAATTGGCTCGCTTGTTGACGATGCAGTCTTTGCGTGCAGTCCCTACCAAGACAAACGTGCTTTAGTGTGTTGACTTTAAGGTGTTACTTTAGGGTGTGGAAAACATTCACCGATGAGCACTTGCAACCACTTACAAGGCATCCAAATGAATTTGAGCCCTGAAACCTGGTCGGTCACTAGCTTTGCGGTTGTAGAACCGAAAAACTTGAACAGAGCATGCGTAGGTCCTTTAGGGTTGTTCAGATTCACTGGGATCAGCAGCTTCTCAGTGGCCACCAGTGTCCATTGACCGTGGAAGAGCTTCACTGGATCGATGTTCCCTATTCTGGACCGTAACTGCAATTTCGGGAATTGCGATAATTAAATCGGCGTGAAGGAAGTTCACAGCAATAACTGTACCGAACAAATCACGTTGGTTTCAGCCTCTGATGCGAGCAATCTGAACAGTTGCAATCATGGATATTCGCACAGGATCTTCACTTAATTGGACTAAACGGAGTAATCAAGTTAATGGTTTTGGCTTCCTTTTTTTCAACCAAATATGACTTTCTGTAGTATAACTGACGCAACCCATATTGCGCCGCCGTGTTCTAACCAGTTATTTTCCTATTTTTTTCCTAAAAGATCACCCTCGTTAATGGCACCTCAGAAGACGCGTTCATTGTAAGTCTGCATGCTTCTGAAGTCATTATCAACTCGCTTGCCTCGGTAACCCACGCGAGATTCACCTATTTACTGGAGTGTTGTTTAGGTTAGTCAGAATGAAAAAACAGTATAACTATATGCGTAGGTATTACCAGAAGTTAATATCCAATCGATCCCTCTGTTAGTGCTTTCTTTTACAGCAATATATAAGAATGATCTGCACTAGACAGCGAGTGAGGCTGAAATTTGGTTGCTAAGCGATCTGCTTCTTGTCTTGATGACGCAATAGGCATTTATGGACAGCAACCATAGCACACTGTCGTTAGACACTCCCACCCATAGTATAATATCTGCTTTTCGTGACTGGCTGCTTTTGCAAATGTTTCTTTTGCTTCATTAATTTGTAAACTGTATTTATCAAACCATTTGTCAGTCATCGCGCTTAATGACTTCATCACACAGCCCAATCTAGTTTACCGGCAATTCGGGGAAATATTCAGTATTTGTGTTTGTGTATTTGCACCCTTTGCCAGAATTACTCCTCTGCTATCTCAGAAACTCTACTGTATTACCTCTGGGTAGTGAACACTCGGACAGCCTACCGAAGTAAATGGTAGCAAAAAACATGAGCGTGCAACCCGGTTCGCTGGTTCGCTATCTGCGAAGTAGACCAGATGAAGAATACCAGTAGGACGATTAAAAAGATCAGTTTTGGTTTGGAAGATGGAAAGGAAACATCTCCTGTCCTGTCAGAAGTCAAGCTTTACAAACAAGGGTAGAATGTTCTGCAAACAAGACAACGTTTAGCTCTGAATGAGGCGAATTTGGTCAAATATTTTAAGGAGACACCAGGATTACCGTCAAAATGACCAAACTTTATGTTTCGCATAAGTATTTGCAGTTGCCCGATCTGGAAATTTCCAAACGTTTGACCTGATTTTGATGAGGCCGATCAAATTTGCCCCTAGAGGAGGGAAAAATTCCACAGTTATTATTCGCAAAGTTTGGCCAGTGAAACTTGCCGCTTTAGAAAAAAACGGTTCAGCTACCTCATACGTAATCCGAAAAAGGCAAACAGAAAACATTTTGCTTATCCGAAAATATTGCTGAAAAATGCAGGTGTTTACTCAGCTGAAAGACGTCTGTTTACACAGCTCAAGGGAATTGTGAATGCCTCCAGTGTCCACACTTTTCCACTTTCCAAACAGCCAACCCAGACCCAGTCCGACTTGTTAAATAAAAAATCCTCAGTGGAGTGAACCAAATACATAAGAACGAACTTTTACAACGAAACACATTTCTCATAGGTTTACCGGAAATTGTCGCCAAAAACGCCCGGTTTCACCCAGTATATGGCTCAGTAGGCAGTCGGAGTTCCCGACATTTTGTCTCCTCGTGTTCCCTTTGACGCAAAAATTGTACTCAACTCGCCAGATACACTCGGTTGCAAATTAAACTAGTATTGCCCGGGAGGCACAAGTGAATCTTTGCTGAGTCTCGCGTTCATGCTCTGAATATGTTTCAGAAGGGCTACCTCTTTTTTCATTTGGTACTCTATTCCACGGAACACCATATTCACATCTTTACTGGAAACCATTTGTCAGCCCAAGACCAGTTTTGCCCTCTTTTTTGTTTGGTTTGGGTATAATTCTTTGACGTTAAGCTTCGGTGCACCAGTACTTAACTTCTCAAAAAGACGCGCGACTTTTAAGTTCAGCGTACACATTTGTGCGTGCTCATCTCAAGGCTGGTATACATAAGCTTGACGGTGAGGCAATGAGGAGACAATAGAATGTTACTGTTTATACCGTATTCTATTTGAGACCTTGACACTACAGCGGTAATAATGTGTTTCTTTTTTGTTTGCTTTGATCAAAGAGCTCAAAGGCTTGCCTTCTGATTATCGCAGGAGGTTACCCAGAGCTTTTACATGAAGTTGAAAAAAATGTGCGCTGCGGTGGTTTCGACGGACTTCTACATCGATTCTGAATAACATGAAGAGTATGACAATTACTAGTCCATTAGCTTATCACCTCTAGCTCGTGTGGCGTGGATCACGTGATTAAACAAATTACTGCTGCTATCTCTCAAATGTCACGCAAAATTGTGGACTCGTTTCAACCGCAAACTGATCGGAGGAGCTCCATTGACGTATTCCAGCTACAACATGACAATTTATGCTAATCCCTGGTTTTCCATTATAATTTTGATGTTATTTTTAGGATGGAATACTAGACCACATTAGGGAATAGTTGAGGTATTGATGTTCGTTCATATCCGGAGTTGATATCTTCGCAACTCAACCCAAATCGAAGAACCTAAGGAATGCTTCACGCAAATCCACATTTAGATGCGTCATCATCACTCTAGGGGAATCTGACATCTATTCACAAATATCCGCAGTTTATCACGCACTGATATAAATGATTGATGTACATATTTAGTGATCCAGTTCATCTTGTTCACTCACATCGCTGGGAATTCCACACTTCTGGTTTTACATTACAGAACTCCACACACGTACCGCACAAGTGTTTTGATTCGCAGGCACGCACATAAGAATAGTTCTCATCTTTGTTACTCTGTCGGTCACAGTAGGCATTGGTAAGTTTAGTGGGCTGACGTTACCAAATCTGTGAGAGAAAGTGAAGGAAACCTTGAAGTTTTGCACAATGATGCCAGACTAGTCGAAATGTCGAAACGAATAGTCTCACATACAGCTTATAATTGTGCAATTTACACACGAAACGATTCCCAGGACAAAACAGCTGCAAAGATTCCTCCATCTTTTTAACAAAATTTAGTCATTTTGTAAGGCAGAGTGTATACAAAGACGACCCATCCGCAAGGTTAATTTTGTCGGCTACCACACCAACCTTTGTTTTCGATCAACGTGAACTGACAAAATCAAGCACCGTCGGTGTGCTGGTCTTTGAAAAGGTCTTCTTTCCAGTGACCTTCCAAAACGGAATCGACGAATCATGATTTGTCTGGATACGAAACCTGGGTTAACCACCACTTTTGTTATCAGTCTTTCCGTCTCTGCTTAACTTTCTACTGATTTCAGCGCGGGGAAAAAACCATGGGTTGTTGAAACAACTATTCACGGTGAACTGGACTGTGTTCATCTCAAATTTGACGGACAACAGCAAAACATGTTTTGTCTAAAGTCTCCTGAGGAGTGTTATTCGTTAGATAAAAAAAACTAATTTTCAACAAGATTCGGTTAGCAATTTCATCAGCGACAGACAAAAGATTCCGCTGATAGGTGCGTGAGGTGATTAGAGAAATGAAAATGCTGGATAAATCTGAAGATGTTGATGATTTTAAAAGTTCCATCTATTGAATTATTCGGCCTCTTTTAGAAGAAGATGGATAGCAACTGTTTTCCTATTAGGCTATAGTACAGTGACCATTGTTATTTAGGCGATTCCTTTCAGCCTTCTGATAAAATTCCTATGGATTAAGCCTCCTTGCTGTTAGCAACAACAGAGAGGTCGAAGCTGTCCCTCGTCTTGCACACTTCCCATCACAATAGATCTATTGCTCAAATAAAAGGACAAATTTAGATGCTCTGTTTAGATTCAACCTAGTTCATGGACAGTCGTAGAGCTGAAAGAAATCAGCGCTTGGACGAATGGTCACTGGAGTCTTGGAAACAACGATAACTGATTGAGGATCAATGTGATAAATATGGTCACGAAAGTGACTTGCTTTGGGGCAAGCCAACGAGGTTGACTGTTTGTATGCGCACAGCTCTCGGATTTACTGAGCTCTAACGGCTCACCATCCGGTAGAGCTGGAAGCCGAGAAAGTCAATGGAAATTAATAAAACCTTTAGTAAAAGTGAATAATCTTTTCGTTAGCTCTGCAACACCCACCTGCACCGTAACTGTCACAGAATCTGTCTTGTTTTTCGAATCATTAGGCCTTGAGGTCACTGAATTTGTTTGAACCGAGGAACTCATAAATTACGGATACTGATACATGAGGAGGACTGAAATGGTATCACTTCAGGAACATCTTTTTAAGCTTCATTGTGGTTCACATGCAAGTTTAGAGAAGAGGCGTGAAATCTTTATTCTATCGTCAGATGTTGTTTACTCCGAAATATGGGGCCACTAAGTTATATTACTACAATGGTCGATCACACTTGCAATTCCTGAAAATGTTCACTCTCCCCAATAATCGGATCGACCGATCCGTATCACTCGTTCACCTGTGCATGTGATCTGATGCTAGTCTGTCTGACATAGGGTGGCGAAACGATCTTCCGTTATCAAGGAACGGAACGCATGTCGTTAAAACTCAAGTAACCAGCCACATAAACACCAAAAGTATAACATTTATTGCGGGGCTACCTTTTGGACATGTCCATCCAAACACTGAATGCAGCCATACGGCTTTCCGATTTCACGTCTTCGCTCTTGTTCGTGTGTGACAAACGCACAACTCGTTACGGCATGAAATGAACCCTCCTACCTGAAAAGTCAGTGGTTCAGTGTAGGTGCGCTTTTGAAAGGAAATTCCACACAAAGTCCTCTGAAACAGTTACTCTCACCGCACAGCCTCCACTAGATAAGATCTAACTAACTGCGTCTTACCATTTACTATCGAAGCACACGTACGGCGGATTGCACTGAAAAACTACTTTTCAGCACGTCAACATGTGAATCGATCGCCGCGTTGACACGGGGATTCACTCTGTTTGCATATTTATTCCGCCAGGTGGAAACTAAATTTGGGGCATTTTTGTGCGTCACACACTTAGTTACTGGCAGCTCAACTCATGTAAAGGGTAAAGGAGTATGCAACACAAAATTTTCTAGGTGAGACTGATTTTTCCTACTTATTAGTTCTCCGACAAAAGCTATCCCTGGTAGTTCGGAACTCAGAATATTTCGTTTGATTGTTTACACTCTTCCAAACCCATGAATAGCATCGGCTTTCACATTCATGGTAATCAGTTCGGAGACAACCCAACAAAATTTCATGTTCATATTGACCGAGAAGTGATC